AAAAATTTTCTTTGGGTTACTGCTGATTACTATAAGAGTACATACAAATTTCAAATCCCTATAATTAATCAAAAAACCCATGAATTTATTTAAAATTCTGCAGGTAGCTTTTTAATTGCATTAGGAATCTATAATAACAAATTCAACATGCTAGCATTGTTTAAGTGTACAGCCTATACATCCTTAATAATAAATGCAATTTGTTTTGAGATTTATCAATAGAAGAATTCTCGAATCTCGCGACGAAATTTTGTTGAATTTACAGTATGAAACCTTCCCGGAAGTGCGACAATTCACAGTATGTATTTACGTCGAGATATTCTTTGAGCGGATTTCCCCCGGCACTTCTTTTTTCAGTTCCCACTGGGTGTACCGGTTCGTTCTGTTAGTCTGTATCGTCGAATAATTACATCCTTGGATATTAGCCACCCACCCCGACAGCATTGTTCTCGATGTATGTACGTATCTCCGAGTAAAAATCGCGTTCGAGATAACGGAGGACGAGGAGAGGACGATGCGAAGGGGTCCGGAGCATGCACGGCGCCGCGACAATAGCGGAAATAGCTACTGATTCGAAATCCCTTGTGTACTCGACATTAATTCTCGCTACTCCCGGCGAGTCCCTTCCGAGAAGAAAAAACAACGACCGATGAATAGGGTGAAAGAGAGAGAGAGAGAGAGAGAGAGAGTAGTGGTGTAAGAAGAAAGACAAGCGTGTATGAAGATAGTAAAGCATGCAGAAGAAGAGCGGATGCTCGAGTGGCCGCACTTTCAAAGAAGTGCCAAGTGCCGCAAGTATACCACTCAATAAATATCTTATTCACTAAATCCCGTATTGAATTGGCCGAATCAATATAAGCAATTTCATTTCATCCATTAAATTAATATGAAAAATGTTTTTCTTTAATGATTTCATTCATATTAAAATTAGTCGCAATTATGAATGAAATACCTTTGAAATAGTATAATAAAGTCACCTTGAATGGTCACGTACACCGGCTAGTTCTCGGGAAATCAAAACATTTTTTAGAGGACAATTTATAAACCCGATCGGTCACGTAATAACAAGAGGTCGTTTCACTTACATTCGATGTTTTCATTATACTGCGACGTTATAATTACGTTAATAATACGTAATAAAAATTGTACGTGGAAACGAATACGTTTCCAAATTAGATGTTCTTCACGTTACCATCCGGATGTAATACGATATATAATAACAGTGTAAGGTGTGAGAAATGATTGAAGATAATATTAAGTTATCAATGAGCAAATTAAAACTGGCTCACGATTTCTAAGAACTATTGTACAGTTTAATAAAACTTTAGAATGAATAATAGTTTCAAGAATTAATACGAGAAGTACCGATATAATTTCTTTTTAAAACCCTTATTTGTTCGACGATTTCTGTAGTTTTAATGATAATGGAAATACTATAAAGGTGATGCAGTTAAATTAGAGTAAGAGGACTTACCAATTGCCGGCGGACGATTCAGCTACTCGACGGAGAGAAATGCCTCGCTCCAGTGTTCCATCTCCTTCTCCTCCAGCTCCGTTTTTTCAATACTCGACATTTGTTTATAAGGTTCACAATTTATACACAACCGTAAAAATCCCGTTGCGCCCCTATCCACGACATCGCGAAATCGACACGGACGAAAACGCTCACGGAGATTCACGCACGCACGTAAATTCCCTCCCGATTTTTCGCTCCGATCAAGACTAAAACCCTTTTACTCGCGGCTCCCACGATACGACAACCGGTTCCACTGGCTATATACGTATTCTCGAATTCGCGGTTCCACGAAACTCCACCGGGCGACCTTCCCGAAACCGACGAGTACTCGCCTGGTGACACTCGCGTATATTCACTCGGAACGACGACGGCTCTTTCTTTTCTCTCTCCCCAGTGAACACGGACGAATGAAGCACGTGGTTAAAGGAGGGATTCGCGACGAAAAGACGACACGGCGCGAGTAGCACCGAGAATTCACCGACGCGACGTCGAGCGGCACACTGAACGTCCTTCAAAAGAATGCGGCGCGGTCACTTCCTCGTCTTCGTCCTCTCTCTCTCTCTCTCCACCGTTTACCTTTCACAACGAACGAAAACCGATTATGCCACACGCGCGACGTGTGTCTCGACCGTCCACGAGACGACGCGACACGATTCTGATACCGTCCTACGCGATCACCTCGCGGTCCGCGATTGCGATTATCGCGCTCGAGTTTGAACGTGAAGTGCGCCAAGACACCACCTTCACGTTGCTTCGACCGCTCTCGCGGATCGTTCCTCGCGTCATACTGCCCCGTGCATTCGGAACGACTGTGATTCGTATCCGGTGTCGAACTTCGGAGAGGACGTCGCGTACAGGGATGATCACTACACGGTCGCGAGGCACGTTGCACAGTGCCACGATTAATCGAGATTTCGCGGGCTCCTCCTGCGTCTTTCGGAAGAGCGCGAATGCACACGGGATGCGCGCGTCTCGGCGGCTGCGCGTGTACTGCCCGCGCTGTTCCCGCACCGATATTGCTCCCCCCTCTCCGCCTCCTCGTCTTCTTCTGCGAACCGTACACGGGACCCCATGTCCCTTTCTGGTTCTCTTCCTTCCTTCGCTCTCTTCCAGGCTGAATCCAGTCATTCTTTTTCCCTCTTCCACGCTCAGCCGAGTCATCCTTTTCTTTTCTCTCTCTCCTCTCTTTCTCGGACCCGACATCCCTTAGAATAGTCGGATCCCCGTCGGACCTCCGATCGGCGTAAATAGCACAGTGAATCGGTTAAGTACTCACTTACCCTGTGCATTGTCCTTGGATGCGACGGCATGTCCTACAAACAGAACGTTTCATTCTTTAGTAGCCTGATCACGGAGGGGATAAAGACTGTTCTCTTTCGGTTGGCATCCTGCCTTTCCAGCTTATTAGGAGATCAGTGAATCAGATCTCTACGTGTGAAGCGTACGTGAGACCGGCTAATTTAATAAAAAAACCTCGCGACTGCGCTCGCTTCTTTTAATAATAAATATAAAGGAAACCAGTTATTCAACTTGGTAACATGTGACCTTAATACGCTGGTTTATATTCCCCGAAAAGATGCGGTGAACGTATCTGCGAAGGCGGTTTCTTTTCGTTTTTGTTAAGAGGATTCGAATCTGTGTAATTTCGGATGTACGTCATCTGCATTAATATTAATTACCTTATTCCGCGACCCTGACAGACTACCCTCCTCTCGACGCCGTCAGATCTCGTCCCCCAAGCCAGACGACTCGACATGCGTTCTTACACGTACATTCCCGCATAAAAGGGGACGCGTGTGCGACACCGAGCCTCGCCGAGCGTGTAACGCGTCTCCAAACGAGCATCTTATCGCTAACCCTCTCCCCCGTTCCTCTTACGCGAATTCTAAATTAATTTTCACTTTTCCGCTTCTCGCGTTTCCTTCGCGGACAGAATCTAAAATTGCAGGTATCCGTCGAGCGATCGTTCGATCATATCGCGGGGTATCTCGCAGCGAGGAACAGGATCTGTTGATCTCGCGTAGGTGATAAACCGCGGTATCTCTGTCATTAAAGACAAAGGCGGTGTGAACGAGACTCGAAGTCGACGATTGGGCGACTATATAGCTGAGAGTAGCTCGGATGTACGCGAGTACGCGTTATATGGAGTATCGAACGTACCCTCGGGGGATGCCACGCAGGAGCGAGAGGCTAGACGAAGGATGAAAGGAGCGGAGGAGAAAACGATTGAGATTGAATTATGGCTCGCGGCTTAAACGCCGGATTCAAATCGATCCCATATATCACATCACCTGGCACCTTTATTCTCCTTTCTACGACCGCGAATCGCACTCCTTCCCTCGTCCATTGTTTCTCTTTCCATGAGTCAGACCCAGCGCGTACGCTGCACTCGCGCCTCTCGTTGCACGCCTACGTAATCGATTTTCGGCCCATCTTTATCAATAACAATGCGATACGAATAAAAACAGTAGTTCTTCATAAACGCGATTGAAAACGAACAGGCGACACCGGGTTACGTTACCTTCTCTCTCTTTGCCAGCCCAGGCGAGACGAGCCAAGGTATAAATAACGACAAAGCTGGTATTGCACCGCCGCTGCCATCTTTTACTATAGCTTACGATCATTTGCCCCGGTTTACGACCGACACTTCATCGCGTTTTCCTCGGTGCGTAAAAAATTCCTCAGCGTTAAAAGGACTGGAAAGAAGATAGGAGAATTTGAAACGCTGCCTCCGACTTTATCGCATACGACTTATATTATAATTGGCGTGTAAATTACGTGAACATTCGTTAACGCCTGAGAGAGCGAATCAATTAAAATCGCTGATTAAAAGACACAGTCGGGAGAGGAAGGTCACATTTTTACGTTCTTTTTTCCTGAGGGTTCGTTCGGTTCTTTTTCATTTTATACATTTACAAGGAAATTATAAATTATCCAGAATATTAGAAGCTGAATTTTAATATTTAAATGTTCATCTAAAATATATTAAATTCGTACTATAAATGTTTTATGCTGCGTAAGAATCGAGAATCTACTGAACAGCCTGAAGCTTCGATCCTATGTCACATGATTCAACCGTGCCCCCATCTGCATTGCATATGGTTATATTCACGCGTTCGTACATCCAGTCACGGCGTGTTTAAACGAGTTTCGTTACGGAGATTGTCCAGTTGTCATCCCGGTTGGTTTACGCCGCGCGACACTCCGTATACGAAACTCGTCGCGAAGATAAAATTGTTTCGTCGACAGTGACCTCGGCCGAGAGGAGTCGTTTTTATCCTGCCCCTGAACACTTAATTGGAATTGAATGGAAACATAAATCCTCCTAGAGAATTTAATGTAGCCGTAGTCGGTGGCAATCGGGTCGCTGTCAAAAATAATGACTGAATCTCTGATGGTAAATCGTACGACACTTTATTCTCCTAATATTCCCAGCGAAAAGTATTTTATTAATGCTGGAGGAAACGAAAGGAAAATGATAAGTATAAAAGTACAGAGGGCATGGAAATTCGAAGAGAGGTCGAGAGACTCGTAAGACTCTGCCTGGGAGAAAAAGAAAAAGGAGTGACGCAGGCTGAAAGCACCAAGGAAAGGGAGGAATATTTCAAAAAGAACCAGTGCAGCCAATTAGATGTCAACTTAATGAGGGATGAGAGAAAAAATGTATTAAAGAAGATCGCAGAAATAGATTTTGACGTTCAACGACAAATGAAACGACAGAAAAATCGAATTGTAATCCAAGATACGAATATATTAGGGTAATTCCATAATCAACAATTAATAGGATAAGTTAGACTAGGGGAAGAGGGAACAAATATTGGGAAAAATATAAGAAAAGAACTTATGATGAACATCTAGTCAGAGACTGTAGGAAAACGGAAGGAGGAGTTAGATTGGACGACGTAGTAAGTGGAAAGATTGATGAAAAGATAGAAAAATGGCTTGAGAACCAAAGAGGGAAAAGAAAGTAAATGTGCAATAAAAAAAGAAGACAAACTATAGTATAAACGTCATACAAAGTGATGAGTGAGTCAAGACAGTAAATGTAAACCAAATAAAGGATCATTATGATTAATACGACACTGATAATAAGAATTGTTTTATGTGCAGCGAAATGTTGATAAAAAAACTGTGTACCGACGATAACATAATAATTACCGAAGCTGTGTCATGGTTATTTCTATTCTGAGAAACAGCCTTTTGACAACGAATACCTGCGCACTTCCAGTCTTAATGATGATAATTTCTATTCCCCCGTTCTGATCCCGACGTGTTTCGCGACGGTCCCAAAGGGGGACAATAATTACGGACGGTGGCTCGTTTTTGCCCCAGTAAACGACCGTTTATATTGAGGGGTGAATGCGGACAGACGTCTTTGTCTCTCGTCCGCCGGGTATGATGAGGCGGAAGGAGAAACACTGCTACACGAGCCGGGTCATTGATGTTTCATCGTTCGCCGGATTATTGAAGGCGTAAACGATGAGTCGACGCCGCGATTCCTTGGAAAAGGAGAAAGGCTTCCGCGGGTTGTTTTACGTGACGACGCGCGTCGAAAGGGGAGTCGCTGTGAAACGCGAACATCTTCCCAGACTAACAAGAGCGCCGACTTCGCTATTGTGAGGCTCTTTCAATCCTGAGACTTTTGCTCGTGCAAGAAAAGTCGTCGCTTTCTTGTCGAATCGCGAAGACGAGCCGCGATGCGTTAAAGAAACGCGGAAGATACATACATCAGACAATAAACACCGGCGGCGGTATTCTTTCCATTTGTAGTTTAATACAAACGTCTAGACCGCTACGGAAAATGTGTCACTTGGAAACGAGTCGTTCTACCAGAAATCACGATCCAGCGGTACCGAGGAAAATCGATCACATCGTAGGTTTTGCTAATTTTCCGACTCTTGACTCGGAGATTACGCGTTTACGGGATCTCGTGCGAGCTCGATCGGTCCTGGCACAGGTAGAAGTAAATCGGAGTATTACATAAGAGCTGTATAGCTACCGGATGAGGGTGGAAGGGTGGCACAGGTCGCTTTTGTTTGGTTGGAGTGCACGCGTTCCGCTGGTAGCGGCAATGGCAGAGGAAGGAGAGGGTCTCAGGGTGGCTGGGATACGTATAGATATACGTGTGCGTACTTCACCGAGCCACATCGTCCACGCAGCCCCTGACGCACCCCAGGCGAAAAGCAGGGTTCAACCGTACGTATATACGTACGTACGTATACAGGCGCGTTTAATAAGAATACGCGGAAGCAGACAGTCGGTGCGACGGTGCAGCGCTAACATTTTATTTATCAGCGCTGATGGCTTTTCCGTTCTCGCAAGGGTCGCCGTTCTTTAGCGGAACCTGAAAGAACGCATCTCCCTGCGCGCGGCACAATCGGGGACACCGGTCGTTACGACTGTAAACTTGCGATTCTTAAAGTGCGTATCCATTTGTACCATATACTCGTATCGTATCACCGTTCCGTGTCACCATTGCAATATGCAAAATATTATAAGAGAAACAGAATTTATCAATTAGAATTATCATTTGAAGATTAACTGATTTGATAAAAAAATCTTATCGGACAATTAATGATTTACTACATAATGTGTTATAAAATTTTTGTAATATTATTATAATTACACGCGATTTATATGGAATGGCGATCATAATGATACGCAACGATGACGAAAGGGTATATTACAAATGGATACGATTTTCCTTTACGTAGTAGGTCAGCGTGTCTCCAATACTGTATTTCCTGTCTCATGATTGCGGATCATAGGCGGCTTTTTCCGAGTACCGTTCGACGGTGATATTTCCTCTGGAAATAATGATAAATGAATCCGCAGTTTCGAGGAGCCCGACTGTTGGAGCACGGAAGGAACGCCCGTGCGATAACGGTGCCGATCGAAATTTTTTCCACGGACGTATCAAAGGTTAACGCGGACGTTGGAAGTTTCGCATCGCGAAAAGGAAGTTGAACGCGGCCACGTGACGCTATCGCGATCTTCCAGCAATCATGTCGGAACAACCGCACGAGGCCGCAGTCATTCGCTGATATTTCCTACTCTCGTGATGTACCTACCCACCACCAAGAGGTGGCTCGGTGAAAAATATTGTCAAGGCGGCGTTGAAATATTACACCATGTCAGGCCGCAAGAATTGCTGTGCCGTCGACCATAATCTACCGGCTGGCCTGGCCTGTGCTGAGGGAAATACGAGCAGCATGACAATGAAGCTCGCGACAGGTGTAATACCTCTCCATACCGAAAGGAATGATTATCGCTTAAATTTAAAAGTACAGCGACACAGATCTGTATACTCAGA